AGGGAAAACTGCTGTGAAAATCCATGCCCCTAGACTTTCCGTTAAGTTTGCGGTGCTAATTGCAGCGATAAATGTTTAAGCCTAAAGCAGTAAGGTCAAAACTTCTACGCAAAGCTTTGAATTATATAAAACCGTTGAAATGTTTTCACTGAAAATGTTCCCCAAAAATATATATAAAGAAATATAGGAAACTTTGTAAAATAATAACAAATTGAATGATTGAATAAAAATATTAAAAGAAGCTTCACTCACCAATAGTTTTATCATCTTTTTTTCTTTTGGATTTTCTGGTCAAAGTCTTTAGTGTTTTTGAAACACATACTTACACATTTTCACTTTTATACTTTCCAGTTTTATACTTTCACTTTCCACTTTTCCACATTAAAGTACATTTTACACTTTACACTTTTACATTTTTACACTTTCATTCTTTCATTTTCACACTTACACAAAAAAAAAATTAAAAAATATAAAAAAAAATATGCCATATTATTTGGCACTTTTATGCTTTTCTCGTAAGCATTTCATTTTTACAACACTTTTTTACACTTTCACATTAACACTTTCACTTATCACACACTTCACACTTATACTTATACTTATTCTTCAGTTTTTACACTTTAAAAAGTCTCTTACTTTTTTTTCATACTTTTGCCATAGACAAGTCTTTGATTTTTGTCATATTGCAAACATTTTTATAAATTTTATGTTTTTACACTTTTTAAATTGCGTTTTATAGTTTGGTTATCCAAAGTTGTATAGCCAGTTTTTATTTGCTGTATTATTAACTTAATTTTCAAACGCCTTTTAATTTCTTCGTTCGTTTACGGTTTCGGCTACAGTTTTATGTTTACAGCCAGCCAACTGTACGGTTTTAGAGTCATCACTCCATTTGCAAAGTTTCGCGATTACTGACCACTGTTTTAGAAGCGCTGTAAACATGTAAATATGTCGTAGTAAATACGTTGTTAGTATTCGCTATGTTTAAGGCCAGCTATTTGATTGAGACTCTTATAAAATTCACTATAGACTTTGATTATCCAAAATTTTATAGCCACAATTATAAGATTCTAAAATCTTAATTTTACACATATTTTTTCATTTCTTCGCTCGCTTACAGTTTGATGTTAACAGCAAGCCAAGTATACAGTTTTAGTGCTTACCATTTAACCGGCATAGTTTCGCAATCACTGCCTACGGTTTTGAAAGCACATGCTAAACAGGTGTCTCAATTTTCAAGTCTTTCTTTTTGTCTCCTTTTTACTTGCCCACGAACTAGAATTAGAAAGGAAACCACATTGCTGATTAGGGAATTTGGAATTTTGTTGTTTTTGGCGTTGAACTTACATGACTGCGTATGTAGGTAGCAGGCGAATCTTACTTCAGCAGCGCAAGCAGCCTAAGGAGCTTTACAGTAAGCCACGTATACAGTTTTAGAACCGACATAGTTTGGCGATCACTGCTTACGGTTTTAGAAGTACATGCCCAGGCAGTGTCTTAATGTTCAAGTATTTCTTCTTGTCTCCTTTTTACTTGCCCATGAACTAAAATTAGATTGAAACCCACATTGCTGATTAGGATACTTAGCATTTGTTATTTTTGGCGCTGTACTTACATGTGTGTGTATGTAGGTGCAGGCAAATGCAGCTGCGAAAGCAGCGTAAGAAGAACGTTTACAGTAAGCCACGTATACAGTTTTAGAGGCTACCATTTCACTGGCATAGTTTCACGATCACGGCTTACAGTTTTGGAAGCACATGCCAGCAAGTGTCTCCATTTTTGAGACTTTCTTTTTCGTCTGCTTTTTACTCGCTCACAAACTGGAATTCGAACGGAAGCCACATTGCTGATTAGGGAATTTGGCATTTTGTTGTTTTTGGCGTTGTACTTACATGTGTGTATGTAGGTAGCAGGCGAATCTTACTCCAGTTGCGCAGGCAGCGTAAATAGCTTTACAATAAGCCACGTATACAGTTTTAGAGGCTACCGTTTAACCGGCAAAGTTTCGCAATCACTGCTTACAGTTTTGAAGCACATGCCAGCAAGTGTCTCCATTTTGAGACTTTCTTTTGTACCTTTTTACTCGCTCACAAACTGGAATTAGAATGGAAACCACATTGCTGATTAGGAACTTGGCATTTTGTTGTTTTTGGCGTTGTACTTACATGTGTGTGTATGTAGGTAGCAGGCGAATCTTACTCCAGTTGCGCAGGCAGCGTAAATAGCTTTACAATAAGCCACGTATACAGTTTTAGAGGCTACCGTTTAACCGGCAAAGTTTCGCAATCACTGCTTACAGTTTTGGAAGCACATGCCAGCAAGTGTCTCAATTTTCGAGTCGTTGTCTCCATTTTACTTGCCCACGAACTAAAATTAGAATGGAAACCACATTGCTGATAAGGGAATTTGGCATTTTGTTGTTTTTGGCGTTGTACTTACATGTGTGTGTATGTAGGTAGCAGGCGAATCTTACCCCAGCTCCGCAGGCAGCGTAAGTAGCTTTACAGTAAGCCACGTATACAGTTTTAGAGGCTACCATTCCACCGGCATAGTTTCAGATCACTGCTTACAGTTTTGAAAGCACATGCCAGCAAGTGTCTCAATTTTCGAGTCGTTGTCTCCATTTTACTTGCCCACGAACTAAAATTAGAATGGAAACCACATTGCTGATTAGGAACCTTGGCATTTTTGTTGTTTTCCGGCGTTGTACTTACATGTGTGTGTATGTAGGTAGCAGGCAAATGCATCTGAAGCTGCGAAACCGTAAGAAGGAGGAGGTGCAAAGAACCTTAATTGCCGGCGGTGAGATGCTGTAATTTCGTTTGAGTTTTCCAGTATCACATTATCCGTGCACTTGCGCTTGCCCTTCACCTTTCTCTTGCCGATTTTATTTCGCAGCAGCTCGGAGCGAAAAGTGGACATCGGTGATTTAATATGGGAGCTACATCTAATTGCGACTCGTGGTTTTCACCTTTGACAGCTCACTACATAACCTCAATCTGCTCTCACGCTCTTACTGCAGCTGCGCAAGCAGCGTAAGAAGGAGCTTTACCGTAAGCCACGTATACCGCTTCAGAGCTTACCGATTCACCGGAAAAGTTTCGCGCTCACAGCCTACGGTATTGAAAGCACATGCCGACAAGTGTCTCAATTTTAAAGTCTTTCTTTTTGTCTTCTTTTTACTTGCCCATGATCTAGAATTAGAATGGAAACCACATTGCGGATTAGGGAACTTGGTATTTTGTTGTTTTCGGCGGCGTACTTACTTGTGTTTGTATGTAGGTAGCAGGCAAATGCAGCTGCAGCTGCAAAAGCGTAAGAAGAAGAAGGTTGAAAGAACCTTGATTGCCGGCGGTGAGCTGCTGTAGTTTCGTTTGAGTTTTCCATTATCACATTATCCGTGCACTTGCGCTTGCCCTTCACCTTTCACTTGCCGATTTTATTTCGCAGCAGCTCGAGGCGAAAAGTGGACATCGGTGATTTAATATGGGAGCTACATCTAATTGCGACTCGTGGTTTTCACCTTTGACAGCTCACTACATAACCTCAACTTGCTCTCACGCTCCCACACACGCTCTTACTGCAGCTGCGCAAGCAGCGTAAGAAGAAGGAGCTTTACAGTACCGCTTCAGAGCTTACCGATTCACCGGAAAAGTTTCGCGATCACAGCCTACGGTATTGAAAGCACATGCCAAACAAGTGTTTTAATTTTAAAGTCTTTCTTTTTGTCTCCTTTTTACTAGAATTAGAATGGAAACCACATTTCTGATTAGGGATCTTGGTATTTTGTTGTTTTCGGCGGCGTACTTACTTGTGTGTGTATGTAGGTAGCAGGCAAATGCAGCTGCAGCTGCGAAGGCGTAACAAGGAAGAGGTGCAAAGAACCTTAATTGCCGGCGGTGAGATGCTGTGGTTTCGCTTGAGTTTTCCATTATCACATTAACCGTGCACTTGCGCTTGCCCTTCACCTTTCACTTGCCGATTTTATTTAACAGCAGCTCGAGGCGAAAAGTGGACATCGATGGTTTAATGTGCGAGCTTAATCTAATTGCGACTCGTGTTTTTCACCTTTGACAGCTCACTACATAACCTCATTCTGCTCTCACTCTCCCACTCAAGCTCCCTCTCACGCTCATCCGTGTGGGAGTGACTGAAGACATGTGTCAGTGTGTGTGTGTGGGTGCGTAATTTGCAGTTCAATTACCTCGCTAATATGAGATGTCGATATTGCTTCTGCTTCTCTTACTTCCGTGGCTTCGTCTTGTGCTCCAGCACACACGCCCCCTTCCCCAGCCATCGCCACAGAATTACCGCTTGTAACTTGAATTCGTTAATTATTTTGACAGTCGGCCATGTTGACAGCGGCACAAGTCAACGGGATGAGAGAGAAATGAGAAGAGCGAGGCATTAACGACTTGTAAATACCCTAACGAAAGTGGTATATATTAAATAAAGAAATTTTTGTGTATATATTTTTTATTATTATTGTATTGTATTGAATGATATATATATAAAAAAATTAATTAAATAAATAAATCAATTTAAGAAATAATAATATTTACTAAATTTAATAAATCCATTTATTATTTTTTTATATATGTATGCAAGCTCATTGGATTAGCCGAGTTGACCGTCGTCCAAGACATTTGAAGTAACGTCTTGAGTTGCCTGTTGTGGCCACATGAAACTTGCATGAGTTCTGTCCATCCCTTGTCGCCCCCCCCGCCTCCGCTAAGCTCTACCGTTGGTCCTACTCGGCCATCTCGATATAACCGTAATTTGTGTGGCAGCCACAGCCATTTTGGCCAACCACTGATTATGCCACATCCGAAATGGACATGTCAAATTAACCAGGACATATAAACAAAGACAGTTACATGCGGTTACATATTCAATCATGATCATCTTTAACTTTCTCTTAATCAAAATTTACTTTAAGGGAATTGAACAAATCTTTAACCTAACGTACAATTTAATATATAGTACTCTAAAAACATACATAGTTATTCAAATACAAGGTTCACTTTTATTCAACATTCTTACATTCTATTTACACAGATCTCTCGGGAATTGAGGGCTCCAGCAGCACCTGCCAGATTAGCCAGCCGAGGATTAGTCCGTAGGCCAGCCAACCGAGAAGCAGTCGCCGCTGATGCCGCCACTAGATGATGGAGGCAGGATCCTTGACCGTATTGATTACGCCCTGCTGTTGCTTGTGCTCATTATTATGGTTATTGCTGACGAAATCCCTTCGCAGGGCATTCCAATTGGGATCAGGATGATCCTTGAGCAGACTCCAGTTGGGCGAGGGGACATCCGGCGAAAGCCAATTAAAATCGGCCACATCTGTGTAGTTATTCTGGGATTTGTTCAGACCCGACTGCAAATAGTCCGCCTCCAGCTCGGGATAATCGTAGTTATACTCTCCGATCTCGATGGCCTTGCAATCCTCAATGATGGCGCGACAGGTGACATGCAGGTAAATTCGAGTGGACTGTGAGGAGTGCAATCTCAACTGCTGACAGGCAATAGAGAGGGTACACTGGTCTACATTCTCGGCGAAGAAGGAACGCGAAATGGGACCGCACAGCAGGGTGCAGTGGGAGGCGTGGGAAACCTGAACGGATCCCGGATGTCCCTGCAGTTCCACCAAACAGTGATTTACATTCGATATGGTTATGTCCTGTCCATTGACTTGTGTGGAGTTGAGGACTATATGCTCGTTCTTCCTGTTTTCCAGAGTCCAGCTAAAGTTGGAACCCGATTTCTCCGGGGTTTTGGTTGTGCTTGAGTCCACTTTATCCTTCATTACTGGCGGCTTCTGCTTGATGGCAGTCGCTGTCTTTTTGCCACTAAAACCGAACTTCTTCTTGGGCATCAGACGCTGACGAGCCTCGTCGTTGCTGGCGGTCAGCGTGTTCAGAATGTTCTGGCAAGACTTGATCTTGAAGTCCGAGAGGAACATGGTGGAGGCGGTGAGGTAGCGCTGCAGCTCCTGGATCTGCATGGTTATCGCAGCAAATCTCTGGGTCAAGTCCGACGTGGCGGGCGGTGCATCGCCGCTGCTCAATTCGTTTAGTCTCTGCTCAATGTCGTAGGCCTGCTGGGTGAAACTCTGAGCAAAGTAGTCCACGCCCTCGTTCTGCACCGTTTCCTTGGAGCGCTGCTCCAGCTTCACATCCAAATAGTTCTGCCTGTCCTTGTTGCGCTTGTTCAGTCGCTCCAGTACATGATCCTTGCGATTTTCTCCGTCCTCCTCCATTTTTTAATGCGTTAAAATATCTGCGTGGAAAGGAAAGCTGGTTAAAAATCAATTTTCAAGCGGAAAAACTTCTTTCTTTTCTGTGGGCGACAATGAATCACGGTTTTGTTGACGACAGTTGCGCAGCTGCAGGAAAATTTGCGGAAATCTTCCACTTGGTGTTGATGAAGGTATAGCCGCTTATAAATTAACCTTAAACCTTCGTGAAATTATCTTGTTTATGTTGAAATATTAACCTCTTTGTGTAGTTTTTAATTTATTTACTCCAAATAAGAAAACAATTGTTGGTAACAGCTGAGAGTAGAGAGTAGAGTGTGACCAGAGCTTAATTTTATTAGGCCGAAGCTCGTTCCCGGCAAGAGGTCACACTCGGGTAGACAAGACGTCAACAAACAACGTATGGAACGTAATCGAACAAAACCGTAACGTGTATGACGTACGCGAACAACGTAATAAAAAGTTTAAAGGTAATAGAAAAGGTTATTTAAATATGAATGTAAAGCTTACGCAGATTCCAAATCGAAAATTCAGAAATAAACGCAATAGAATCTTTTAAATTGAATATTCAGTTAGACAACCAAAACATATCCCTAAAAAAACTAAAACTAATTGAAAACAAATATTTTTCCTGCTTTCGTTCACCTTTTTTAAATTTATTTTTTAATTCTTTTTTTTTTTTGTTTTTATTTTCGATCAAAATTACAGGCAAACATTTTAAGAAGCGGGGCCATTTAGAGTTGGTGGCGGTGTGTGTGTTTTGTGTATTGCTTAATTGCCTTACAATTATCAAGTTGAACATATTTACAATTGAATTTCGTTAGATACATAATCGTAGTATGTATAATTAAGTATATATAATATATAATTAAGTGTGTGCTTGATGTGTGTGTGTGTGCCCTAGTTTGCATGCAAAAATGTCCTAAAAAGCATTTGTACTTCTAACTTTCGTTACGTTTCCATTCATTTTAACACTTAAGTACTAGGAAAAATCTTAAATACAACTTGATTTCTTTGTATTCTTTGTGTTTTTGGTTGATCTTAGTTACTTGGTATTCTGCTTAGGTTTCTGCTTAGCTGCTGCTTCCGTTTCTGTTTCCGTTTCCGTTTCGTTTAGTAAGGCACATGACACATTCCTGAATATGATGTGCGTTTTATATAATAATAAGTAAGTAAGTAAGTAAGTAGGTAAATATTAGATATAACACATTAAAACTATTGACTACACAATTTTTTTTTTTTAGATATAGAAATTCACTCGCAAGTTTTTGGGGAATTTGTGCTCCATTTTTCCGATAAGGGAAGCAAAATTCTACAGATGCATATTGACCAGCAAATGACTAATTAAAAATCCAACCACGATTCCAAAGGGACCATGGGACAAAACAAAGAAAATTGTACACCTGATAAAAAAAGTAAATATCTCGGAAATGTTATCGCGCATCATTTGTATATATATATATATATATATATATATGTTTGTATATATGTAGATCTTGAGGATCTCCTCCTTATATAGATCATGAGAGCTCGCCAATGGGAGCATTCTGCAGCCACAGATCATGTATAAAGTTGTACAGATTATCGCTGACGGCAACCTGAAAGAAAGTTAAAATATTATTGGTTAAATTTGCTATATATTTATATAGTATGCTACTTACCTTGTAGGGCGTTGGGTTAAGTGTGCGCTTGTGATCGTTCCTCAGCGTCTTCAACGAGATTTGCACCTTCTCGCGAACCTGTTCCAGGGTCGGCAGCTGCTGGCATATCTTGCCCGCCTTCCAGTACACCTTGTACAATGATTCCACATGCGAGGGTATCACATAGGCTCGCTTCGACTCCTGGAAAGGATGACGGCACAGCACCTTCTGGCCCACAGCTGGCGGAGGCTCGGAGACCTTTTGCAGGAGATCGATGAGGGCATGACCATCGGCACTGTACAATCGATAGGCATTCTTATTGCCCGGCATTGTCACCTTTTCCACATCCTGACTAAGCTTAATTCTCGGCTGGCCATTGATTTCCACCAGCTTGTAGACACAGCCCAAAGCAGGCTGACGCTGGCAGGTAACTGGAAAATAATAATTAATTAATCAATGAATGGTTTATGAAATCCTCTACTTTACTTACCCAAATGAGTGCCAATGCCAAAGCAATCAATCTTGTGTCCCTGCTCATTGAGACTCAATATGGTGTCCTCGTTGATATCATTTGATGCCACAATGGTCAGCTTATTGAACCATGGCACCTTGAAGCGTTCTGCCACCTTCTCGAAGGTTTCCCGAGCCAAGCAGGATAGATATGCCAAATCTCCCGAATCAATTCGAATGCCCAGGCATGATAGCCCAAATCGTTGAGGGCCAAGGCCACGGCACTGAAATTGAGAAGACCGCTCCTAAAGAGAAGAAAGCAAGGGAAGAAATGATTAGTAATCACACTAAGTATAAGCTTCATTAAGTGCTGCTTGGTTTTATTTTTTTTAATTTTTAACTCAACAAAGAATATAACTCTCATTTTGCTATACAATCACCTTTTTGTTTGCCACTAAGTTCAAAGCGGGAATTATACAAAAACAAAGGTATTTTCAGGTGTAAAAAAGTGTAGCTAAGAAAAAACGTGTTCAAAGAACTATAGGATAGTTCTTTTTCTTAAAGAGTTTTGCAAGTGCAACTAGGAAAAACAATCTGCCTGGGAATATTATATCTCATATTCTCATTTTACTGAGAGCAGCACAAAATGTTAAAGTTCTTTCGGTTTTTTTTTAAATATTTTCAAGCCATGCAGTGTGCTCTCTCGGACGCTTTTCTATATAGTATATATAACTATTTACAGTTTTATAAAACTAAGAAAAAAATTGAGAATTCTTTTTTAGTTTATTAGAAAAATATCATTTCAATTTCTCTGGGTTTGAGGGGGAAATAATTGAACCAAAACAAGACAAGGAAAAAAATGTTTAATAAAAGTTAACAAAAGGAGTTTTTTGTGGGGCGACAAGGACAATAAGAACAGGGTTAGGTTCTATGACAGCATTAGGGTGATTCCAGTGCATGTTTCCGTTGAGTTTAATATATATTTTATTCATTTAGAGTGCCTAAAATCGTCTTGTTCAAATTTATGCATACCACTCTAGTTTGTTATTTTTAAAGAGTTTATAATAATACTTTTTATATATTTATTTTACTATTTTCTTCAAGTTTAAAGATTTAAAGTTTACTTAAGACTTCTTTAAAAAAAAGTTTTAACATTTTAGCAATTTTTAAGCTATAAACATTTAACTTAAAGTTGGTTTTTTATACCCTTGCAGGGTATTATCATTTAACTCAGAAGCTTGTAACTTTGTGAAGGAATCATTTCCGACCCTATAAATCATATATATTCTTGATCAGCATTCGAAGGCGAATCGATCTGGCTTCCTCAGGAAGAAAATAATTTTAAAAAATTTTTTCCTAATTTTATTGTCAAAGTTATATCTTAAAAATTTTTTAAAATTGATAAAATTGTATTTGTTCAAAATCTTTAATTGAGTGTGCAGATTTATTAACCTTTTAAAAACTAACACAGGTCCGCTTTCCGAATTAAAATTAATGCATTTTTGGCTTACTTATGAGATTTTTAAATTGATTTCTATGAAATTGTTATATAAAATATAGATAAATTTCGACTCAAAGAATAGATTTATAATTTCAGTCAGAAGCTTAAATCAAAGTGAAGGAGTCATTTCCGACCCTCAAAATATATATTCTTGATCAGCATAAAAAACTGAATCGATCTAGCTATCAGAGGATAAAACTAAATTTTTTAATTTTTTCCAAATTTTAGAATTAAATTTTCATCTTTGAAAATTGATAAAATTGTATTTGTTCAAAATATTTAATTGAGTATGCGAAATAAAAACAAACATAGGAAAGCTTCCGGAATTGAAATTAATGCATTTTTGGCCAAGTTATGAGTTTTTAACCTTGAATTTTCGATAAATTCTCTTATAAAATCTCGATAAATATCGATTCAAGAATGTGAAATTTGATCCTAAATTTAGTTGTCTTTTCTACTTAAATAATTAGATTAACTTTGCACTCTCACTAACTAAATACTTGTATTTTGTTGCACTTTGTTATGTGTGAGTTATAGGTTTGGTTTATCATTTATGCATGAACTTTGGTTTTTTGTTGTTGTTTTTGTTCAGTAATTGTGGTGGTGAGTTATATGCCATATGATATAGTGTTTTGCTGTTTATTATATCATGTTTGTTGGTTGATTGTTCGAATTGTTTTTTGTAACTTGAAGACGTGTGTTTTACATACCTCTGCCAAAATAGTGCCGGAAGTCATTTGTTTACTATGTTAGGTTCGTAAATTCATGTTTTTTGTTTGTTTGTTTTTTTCGATTCGATTTATGGGTTTCTGATTCTGATTCGGGTTTCGATTAATGGTTTTTTTTATTTTGTTTCACACATTCACATTTAGGAAGAGAAAATAAAAAGCATAATAAACAAAATTGAGTTAGAAAAAAGGTAAATGCTAAACAAAAAATAATGTAAAATGAGAGTTTTAATAACAAATACACAGAAAGAAATGTTTAATTATAAAATGTGTTGAAAATAAGAGAGGTGGAAAGCAAGTTTAGAAAGCGAAAGCAAAGAGAAAGAATCAAAGAAAATAAATTAAATAAATAAATTGACTTCACCTGTTTGATTTGTCTTTTATAGTCTTTTGCCGAAGGAATATTTCCCAATAATTGCCTTGACTTTGAGTACTAATTTTTTGTTTTAATTTGAATTCAAACACCAAAGCAGAGGACGCATACATATACATATATCAGCTTAAATATGCACATATATATGCATGGTTTATAATTTTTTGGAATTTAGTGGTTATATATATATTTTGTATTCGATGATAGAACATGCAGGCAAATCCATAAATATGTAGTTTTAGCATTAGATATAAAAATAATGTAAAGTCTGATTGAAAGCCCAGAAAATAGCATAAGAAAATATGTGAATGTTAGTTTATAATGAATGGAACAAATGAACTAAATCGTTTCAAATCAAAGAAAGACATTTTGTAATGATTCCTATATTGGATTACTTTAAATTAAATTTATTTTCTGTTTTGATTTTTTTTTGTTCGGTTTAGCGATTTATCACGATTAACATTTACCTGAATGACTTCTCGACATATTTTGGTAGGTATGCCGTCCCATTGGACGTTGTTGTGGCTGTTGTTGTTGTTGTTGTCTTTGCTGTTGCTGTTGCAGTTGCAGTTGCAGCTGTTGTTGTTGCCGGTGTATTGGCCTTTGTATCTTGTATCTTTGTATCTTTACTCTGAACAATAATACCATTCTGATGGCCATTGGTCTTGTGTCCATTTATTTTTTGCCATTACTCTGACCATTTTGATGGCCATTTGCCGATGGCTTTTGCTTTGGCAGACTGTTATCAGACTTGATATCATTGATAAGCTTGGGTTCTAAGCTGGCATGTTCTGTTTCTCGGCTGTTGGATAATACTTTGGATTATTACTCAAACGAAAAAGAAACAAAAAAAAAAAAAAACAAAAGGGAATGACATGAATTTAAAAAAAGTAAACTTGGGGAAATGTATGGGAATTATCTCCAAGTTAAAAGTTAAAAGTTTAGTAGTTACTTCTGTTTGTATTTTTGGGGGAATTTCTGGTGCACGTCTCGAGAGTCTCAAATACTTTTACAAAAAAATTAACGAGGGGTAGGAGGAAAAATAAACAACACAACACAAAAACGAAAAGGATCAACCGAAACCATTAACTCTGATAACTAAAAACCGTTCCGAGAGAATCTGCCTAGAAGCGAAATACCTCTTAACATCGTACGTATCGACAAGTGCCATAAATCCATCAGGGAATGCAATGGCATAGGACACCATCGCCGCCAGTTCACCCTCGCTGGACTCCTCCGTGGACACGTCCAGCACGTGGGATAACATCTGCCGATGCCTCACAGCATGCTCCAACAGATCCTCCATAATGCCTGTTAAAGATTTTTATATAAAACTTGTTTCTTTTACTGATTTTTAATTGCATATTTTACTCACCCGTTTGCTTGTGCTTAATGAGACGGGTCTTAAGTTCGCCAATGCTGCTAAAGCTAGTGATATAAGCATGGGCATGGGTACCCTTGACGGGTATATTGAAGAGTTTTCCGGCCAGGACATTGGAGGTGCCATCAAAACCACCTGAAAAGAATAACATAAATGTTAGAACAGGTTTGTTAAACGAAGAATGCATGTAATAATTCCCAAGTAAGAACTCGAAGGACTTTTGCTTTGTTTGTTTGCATGACAGGCTCCTAGCTTGACATTCGGTGCCCCTACCTGTTTTTAATGTATCAAGTATTAAATTGAATGAATTAAATGTAACTGCGGTAAAAAAAACACTTGCTTAAAAAGAAACCTTATTATTAAGCTGCAGGATTTTCGTATTTCCAAACCCGTAAAACCCATTAAAGTTCTCAAATTTTAAAGGACTTTTGCTTTGGTTTGCTTGCATGACAGGCTCACAGTTGCCCCCTCCTGTTTTTAATTTATTGAATAAAAATGCAGTAAAGAAACACTTGCTTAAAAAGAAACCCAATTATTAAGCTGCACTATTCTGCTGTTTGCCACATTTCCAAGCCTGTAAAACCTATTAAAAAAGTTCTTAAATTTTAAATATCACCTTAATGGTCTTACATCACCATATTGCGCCATTAGTGACGGAAATTCCAACTTAAACATTTCAATTTTTTGCAGCCTTCCCCCTTTCGTTCCTTATAACACAAAAAATACAGTAAAATAGAAAAGGAAGCCTTGACAGCGGAACCTTGACGCCAACTGGATGACGGCGTGAGTCACGTCGTGCACGCGAATGCCTCCATCGATTCCGGCGGGGGAGCTATAGAAGGATATATATCCCAGGAACGCATTAAAAAAAAAAAAAAAACTTGAAGCTTGCCAAAACAAGTTACGATGTGTGAGCGCCAATTGAAAGGGCTCCTCTTCCATCGCTCGATTTGCCTGGTTGCCTGGTGCCTGGCACCGGATTTTCCTTTTTCCCTCTATACATGGACACCCTGCACTATCCTATCCAATATTTCCTATGTGGGCGGCATTGCGTGTGCCACCCACTTTTGGGGATTTGTTTTTTTTTTTACTGCCTTCGGGCGGCGCATTTAGTTTAACACATAAACAAGAGTTCTTGAACTTCTGCCGATGGAGGAGAGAAACGGAAGCCTTGATGAAGGCGCAGAGTTACTCATAGTTTTTGGTGGGGCCTTGAGAAGATGGGTGGGGCCGATGGAGAAATCGGAAATCACAGTCAGAGGCAGGTTGAGCTCCTGACAGTGACACGTGCTTTGCATGCATGCACATCATAAAAAAGTCAGGCACAAAACAATATGAAAAGCACCTACAATACTTCCTTTCCTACATATACTTTTTTCTATATTTTTTTTTTGTTGTATCCTCGAACGATCAAGTTGTGAGTAGATAAGGTGACTATTATGGGTTCTTAAATACCCTGTAATTATGTATTCTACGGGTTACTTAGGAGAATAAGATGGTATTTAACCTTTTAAGTACGCTTTTTAAGGCTTAAAATTGTCATAAATTGTCAGAGAAAAAACACAGGAATACGAAATGTTATTAGAAAACTTTAGATACATTTTGTAGGGAAAAAACCATAATAATAATGATTTTTCTAATATTATAGATACATTTTTGAAATGATTTTAGAGCTTCTGTGATCGTAATGAATTTGTTGACTTTGAAAATTCCTTTCCTTATTTTAAATCGTTTAAAAATCAAATTTTAACCAAATTCAGTTAATCAAATATTGTATTGCTTAATTTTAGATACATTTCAAAAAGATTTCAAACTTCTAGAGGTTTCTGGGTGTTATTTTAATACTAACAAATGTTCCTTGAACACCTTTTTAAATCCAAACCCACTAAAACCAACTAACTATCCCAACTCATAAAAATCATAAACCCCTTTATTTTCACCCGTAAATCAAATGGATAATTTTTCGGCTGGATAAACTTTCCCAGAGTTTTTGAGCTACCCCATTCCCCAATTATTTTTAATTGATAATGAGCTGTCTGCATGCAATTTGGCAATGCCGAAAAAAAAAAATGTTTATATCGCACACGTTTGACCTTACTTGTCACGACTCACTCCTTTCCCACTTTCCGAGTGTGGGTCGTGTGAAAGTTCACCTTTTTGTTTTTTATTACCTGTGTAGGAATATTTCGATGCGGATAGACCGCCATCGGGTCCCTGGGCTCGACGCAATCCAAATTCCAATAGTTTGACATGTTTGCCAGCAACCATGCGATATCGGGCTGCATTCGTGGCCATTAAACTGGAGAAAAATAAACTATTAGGCAATTTCTGGATAACAAAAGAGCAGGAGGGCTTGCACATACCTGGCATAATTCACCAAGGTGAGAAGAGTCGTTTCCAGCAGCTGGACTATGATCAAAGGTCCCTCGATCTTAATAATGGGAACGCTGAAAGAGTGATCATAAATTAATTAGACTTTGCAAACTAAATTTGCTTAACCTTATCATTACTGCTAAAGCAATAAACCTGAGATATTCTTAACTCTTTTTTAATGCATAAACAATTAAGTTGTTTCAACAGATAGCATTCATTGTTGTACTCTGCTTGTCTTTTATCAGACTTAAAATAACTCAGTCAGAGAGCATGAGCTAATTTAATAATTATTATAAATATGATCAACATAAAAATGAGATAAAAAGTGTTATAAATGAGCTTATTACTCTTCTCTGTGTATTGCTTAACATAAAATATAGTCAGAAAGATAATTGTTAATAAAATAAACATAAAGCGATGACTTTTTGGGGACTTATATCGAGAGGAATAGTATTATACATCGATTTATCGCATTTATATATTGACTTTCTGAAAAAATAACGATTCAGTAACTATTTTCAGTCATTTCGAGTTTAAAACAATTGTGTAGGTAAACAAAATATTAATATTATTATATTAATATTAAAAAGTAAAAAACTAAAAATTGACCTTGAAATACTTAAGTTAGTTATAGTTTAACACACCGTGGAAATGCTACCGTGCCCTCATCAATGGCAAACAAGGTGACATCCCGCGCCGTCAGATTACCAAGGTACTCGAAAAATTCATTCTCAATGCCCTCGGGCAGTGTTTGCTTTAGGTATTCGATATCTGAAACAAATAACATCGATTAGTTAATACAAGTACAAAATGTTTAGTTAATATACAATAACTCACCGCTTTGGGAATAATGGAAGCTATCCAGGAATTTGAGGCACTCCTCGAGACCAGCGAAAATAGTAAATTCACCGTGGAATGGATTGTTGCGAAAAAATAGATCAAATACCGCCGTGTCATCGGTCTTATCGGATTTCCAATAAGCATAGGCCATAGTTATCTGATACAAATCTGAAATAAACAAAATATGCATAGATATATGCATACATTTATTAATTTCAAACATTATTATTAGGTAGCAGTACAAGCAAGCTTAATTAACAGAAACGTTCTATAAGAACTGAGCTTAAACTGGGTTTAAGACTTGAATTTTGGTATGCAAAGGTTTTAGGGAAATGTGTATTAAATTAATGGAATTTTTATGGTATAGACTTTCTTTTAATGCAAATATATTCTCAATACTTGGAGAACCTGAGAGATCTATAGGGTTAACAGTTTAATTTTGATAGACGTGGTTCTTAGATTAAAATTACATTCTATTTATGAAATATTATTATAAAAAGATCTTTGTGGCTTTAAAAATACAAAAAGGTAGTTTTTATATAATTTTTAAAAGCTCTTTCTATAACCTTTAAGATATATTTCTTCCTAAAATAAGTCTCTATGGAATATTATACTTAATAATAAGATAATATTTATTTCAAGTAATAATTATATGATCTTTTATAAGAAGGTTCTCCTGTTTTTATAATAACAACAGAATCAGAACAGATAAGATAACCTGGAAAGTCTGCCGCTGTTGATGATGGGGGCAATTAACGCTACTAAACTGAAAGTGCCAGACAATCAACACACACACGCAAAAAAAAAATAATAATAATAAAATAAAACCACACAAAACCTGCAAATGAAATGCAATTCTTATCTAAGTGCAAAGACCTAAAGATCGGGTATTTTTATTTATTTGCGCTCGTGTCTGCAGTGACTAAAAATATTCAAACATTATATATATATATGTACATATATGTATATATATAGAGAGGTAAAAAAGCCAAAATAGCATTGCATAGAGCGCCAAAATGTCTCTGTGGAAATGTCAGCCGGCTTTAGATAGATTTGAAAAACGAAATAAAAGTTAACTCTAAAAAAATAGCTCAATTAAAATCGAAATATTATTAATATATGAGGTTTGCTTAATTTATGGGTCATAGGAAAATTGTGAAGAACTATTTGAAAGAAATATTTAAAGCTATTTAAGTATTTCTCACAAGGTATTTAATTGTACAAATTAAACTCTTCTTTAAAATATTTATTTCTTTAAATAAAGCTATTTAAGTTTTTTTTACAAGGTATTTAATTTTACAAATGAAACTCTTCTTTAAAAATATTTATTTCTTTATTATATCATAAAATAACTATATTTTATGCTATTTTTTTATGATAGTTGTTTTATGTATTTCTGATTATTTATGCTATAAAAGCATAAATAATTCTAGAGTAATTTCTTTAAACTTACTTCTTATTTAAAGCTATTTATTATTCCTTTACCAGACATTTAATTTACAAATGAAATAGACTTATTATTTCTTAGTGTACCATAAAATATAGCTATCTTTATGTTATTATTGTTATGATAGTTGTTTTATGGTATTTCTGATTATTTATGGCTATAAAAAACCTAGATAAATTCTAGAGTAATTTCTTGAACTTACTTTCTTAATTAAGTTGTTTATTTTTATTTAGTTGTAAAGCTCAACAAATTGTAAAATCCCGTGAAATATATGAATCTTTTAATACTATTTCAATTCCATCTTAAAACTACTATTGTTTGCAATAAAAAATATTAGAAAATAATACATAAAATCCATAAAAATTAAACTATCTAATAATTTTTCCAAGTGCACCAGATACTCACCCGTTAGCAGTGGCTGGACCACTCCATTCTGATTCATCCGTCCGCGATCCATAAACTGGCCGCCCGCACTGCAGCTCAATTCACGGTCGTTCATTCTGTGGCCGATCTTGGGTAGTTATCGCTCCTATATGTTGTCTATACTTTTCCGATGATATTTCGTATTTGTTTTTACAGTTTGTACGTTCACACGCGACGGGCAATGATATAAATGTGCCAAATAAACAAATTAATTAATTGTTTTGGCTTATGGGCTTGGCGTTTTTTACTTGGGCGAAAGCCGTTGAACTTTTGCTTTATAGATATATATATATATATATGTATCTGAAAATGAGTAGAAAATTGTTTTACAATTGACGCTGGAGAAGGAGGAGGAGGAGGAGGGATTGTTTAATGCTTTTTTTCAGCTCAAATGACGTAAGAATCGCGTTGCTATTGGCGAGCTCGTGTTGAAATAGTTTAGCATTAGAATGCAATGGAGACAATTGTGTCTATTTAAATCGATTTGTATGGACTGTGTGATACCCCTTTGATTGGTTTCTTTTGTTTTCAAGATATCTAAGCTTAGCTAGCATTAATTTATACTCTATTTAGAGGAAACGGAAACCAATATGACCTTTGTTTAAACTTCTCTGACAAAGATAAGCTAGTTAGCTTTATTTTATTTGCAGTTTTCTTTTCTAATAAGTACTGTTTATTAATGGAAAATACAAAAAGTTTAAATCAAAGAAAAATTGAAAATAATTCTTGTTTTGAGACTTGTACAAAATAAAATAACTTTTAAAGTTATATATAAATGGTAATCACATTTTTTCAGACTTCAAAATAGTTCAAAAATTATTTACCAAGTCACTAAAGATACGAATTTTTGCAAAGATAATGCACAGAAAATTATGCCTGATAAGCATTACTTTTTATAAATTTAACCAAAACAAAACCTTTTTTTTTGCCAACTTGTGCTTAAAATTCTTCTAGTTTTTACACTATAGGGTATTTTCTTTTTTTAAGTTCACAACGAAAATAAAACGCAAATTAAACACGAAAACTCTTGAGCTGCTTATGAAACACTGCTAATTAGCATAAGGGCAATAAACACACTAGTTTATGATGTTTGGAGCTCCGCTCTCCCTCACTCTCTGTTATCAAATTGGACAAAAACACGGATTGAGGGCGCCGGCAGCTGCTTGTCAATTGATAACGCGTTTAGTGCTCGTTTTTTATTTAAATGATCACTATATTTGTTGTTGTTGTTTGTTTTTTGCTCTGCGAACTTTTCCGCTCAGCTTATGAAGTTGAAATGAATTTGAAATTCGCCAAAGCGAACGCGCTAACCGAAGAGAGCGAACACGCGAGGAATAAAGATAAAGATTGCGAGAGACAATCAGAGAGAGCGAAAAAAGATGCAGTTTTGTTGATTTTTGTTGTTGTGTTGCTATTGGCAGCCGATTATTTGTTGTTTTTTAGTAACATGCTGCGTGTGCACCAACACATGCGCACCAGTTCGACCGGGTGGCAGCTCTGGCCATCGGACTCGACCCTGGCCAAGGTCAAATTCGCACTCCGAGGGTTGGGAAAGCTTGCCACACGCATCTTCCTGGCTTTTCCGCTGTTCCGAGTGGGTGATGGCGAGTGGGCGAAAATTAGGTGGGGCGTGTCACCGTTTGGCATGCAGACAGAGGCGCGAAAATAGCAAAAAGCCCGGCTTGCGACGGTCTGGTAGCACTGCGGGAGGGGAAGGGGGGGCAATGATAACGTAGGGGGTCAGATGTAGGGGCGTGGGGCGGCAGAATTCTGTATGCACTTTCACTTTTTTTGCGCACACTTTAATTCATCATTCTTAATTGGACTTATGCCTATTCTTAACTGGCGTTTATTTTTCCATTTAGAACCGATATTCGATTTATCTTACTTTTATTTAAAGCATTGCACTGTTTTGATTACACTATTTTGCGATACGAGTTAATTGTTATCCGTTTTGTACACAAAAAAAGTGAATTACTTTTTATTCATTGAGCGCACGCACGCTCTTCTTCTTATCGGCTACACAGCTGATAAGGCGGTGCTGCCAACTCGCGTTGTTCTGTGTGGGCAGTGCTGGAAAGCGCTGGCGATTAATTGGCGCCCCAGAAAAGTTCCCTTTATGAAAGTTCAAGAACTTAAATTTGAATAAGGAAACAATTTCTGATTAGAAAAAATCGGACTGACTTTCAATCAATTAAAACAATTTATTTTTAAATCTACTGAGGCTTACCTTTGTCTTATCTTTTAATAAGCAAAACATTAAGCTCTATTCCACACTCGGCGCGTTATTCACTTTTGGTGGCCAGTCCAGATCAATGCCTACGACATCCAGGGCTTGTATATCAATGGGCTGGCCAATGATGGAGGCAAAGGAGGGCGTCGTCCTGCCAAATTCCCCGTGAACCAGCTCCTTAATGTACGTGCCCGCCTGCGTGACAATGTCAATGATGAGAGCTTGTGGATTCCCCCGATGTACCTTGGCTTTTACACTATAAATCGTTCGGGGACGCGTGTGCAGAGGACGACGATGAAGGACCCTGATGGGTGTCTTCTGCTGTATATCGAAGCTCTCGGGGATTTGTAGTTTCTGCAGGATGTCCACTGTAACTGGTTCTTTGAGAGCGCAGAGAGCACGATAGAATTTCTTCTTTTGCTCCTCGCCCGTCTTAATGTGGGTGAGCTCCTCTCTGGCCACTACTTGTAGATTGAGTATGGACACCTTGCCGGACTTATCCACAGCTTGCTCCATTTCATAGGCCTGCTCTGTGGTCAGGGAACTCCTGATGGCATTTGGTATTTCCAAGACAAAGGGTCTTCCCTTGCCCAGGCATCGAACATCCACATCTTCCCTGCCGCTGGACATGAAATTGATTTTCTCCAGCTTTTCCGCAAAGTGTGGTCCCACATTCCTGATGATTATCTCCTCGATGCTGTCCTCCATTAGCCGCTGACCATTCAAGATCCACGGCGTGTGCGACAGTTCTCGGCTGAGCTTGCGATACCTGCCGGCCACACAGACCAAAGGACCCTGCAGATCGATGGATACAAGCTTGAGCGGCTCCTCGACGCTGGCACATGGTATCTGGTAGTATTTCTCAAAGGTTTCTGCCTTAACTTTTGCCGGCTGATACTGCTTCTCGAGCAAGCCCCGGGAGATCTCGATACGCTTCTGATGGGCAGCCTTGGCGGGAAAGGCCTCTCGGTTCAAGCTCACTAGTTTCTCCACCTCTCCGGCTTCTAGGCTGTGCGTCACATCTATGTTGATCATAAGTCCATTGGCATCATATTCCTTGTCCAGCTTATCGCATATTATGGGATGTAGGATCAATTTAACGGCCTCCTTAATGGGCACATCCGGCGGATTGATTCCGTCAACGGAGGCTCCAAATCGTTTTTGCAACGCAAACCACATGGCCAACTGGCGCAGCTGCAAGATCATCGGCAAACTTATGGCGAGTACGATTTTTTGGCAATCGTATTTGGCAAAGTCCGAGGCGAGAATCCCCTGGAGCAGATCGCGCTGAAAGTCCTCCGAAAATAGTCCCAAACAAGTGGAACAAGTGCTCACGCGGGCTTTCTTAGTCGGTTGGTCTTCCGTGGACACGGTGTCGCCCACATTTTCCTCATTTTCATTCACTTTTACATCCAACTTAGTGTTTTTAAAGAGAAAAGTTAAATATTAGACTGTCCATTTGCTTGAAGTTCACATTGCACTCACCCGCCGCAGAGTTTCCCTGATATCTTTGTACTCCGAACCCCTGGCCTTCAAGTAGCGCAGCTGGCAGATCTCGCAAACGCCACAGGACCTTAAATAATCAACCAAATCCTGATTTTTCATGGCTTCGTTTTAAACAAATCTATTATTTTCGTAAACAAAACGTGGAGAGCGGTTTGCAAGTTTACCAACACTAAATCTGTCAGCTGTCAGCTATCAACCGGCGTTGATCAACACAGTTCTTTGGGGCGCAGATAAAAACACAAAATAATTGTTTTCATTGCAAATTTGTAAGAATTTAAGGTTTGTTATTTTACAAATACCTCAAAAGCGGATTTGGGAATGTATTTTAACGTTGTTAAACACAAAGTAGCTACGCTTGCAGCCATGGATAACCGCTAATGGCCGTTGTTTATGGTTACGTCACAGAGCGTAGAGTGGGAAACTCGCACTGAAATGAAAGAATTTTATTAAATTTACATATGTTTATTGGTTTTAGGCACAATGTCGCTAACTCCCTTTCTGCGCCTGCCCCTGACGGACTTGACCGGCTGCCTGATCAACCATCAAACTTACGACAAATGCGGCAAATTTGAGATGAAGATGATGGAGTGCTTCGAGGCCTACGGCTTGGAGCGCGGAAAGCGCGAGTGTGCCGACCTTATTTCCGACTTCCAGGAGTGCGTTGGCATGACAAAGCAACTGATGCGTTTCCACGTAGGTTTTTCCACACCTCCATATCGATTTTAAGCTTAAGTTATCCCCAAAAATATAATTTTTCAGGCCATGCGAAATGAACGCTATAAGCAATGGCTCAAGGGAGAGCGCAAGGGCTCGGAATTCTTTGCAGAGTCTCCTCGCGTAGACGCCTATTAGACAGAGAGCCTATTTTCTCGAGTGATTGCATATTGTTAGCCGCAAATTTGTGTAAAAATAAAGAAAATTTATAAAACTCAATATAGCAATGCATTTAATCAGCTGTTTTAGTTCAGAGTGGCAGGGTTGGTTAGATCCGACAGTCTGGCAGCATTACCGGTGTAAAAAAAGTTGGCAGCTCTCTTGTTGTGTTTGTTGTGAGGTTGCTGAAAAAATTGAAGAATTTTAATATTTCTGGAAAATAAAGCACCAAAATGGGCACCAAACGACCCAACACAAGCGTGGTACTGGCCCAGGAGTCGAAGCGCAGCAAAAGCGACCTGGTGGCCTATACAAATCGGGATAAAGCGCTCCTGGAGTCGGTAAGCGTGGTGGCAAGAAGAAGCAGGAAGAGAATTTCACAGAGAAAATTGTTTATTTCTACATTTTTATGTTTATTTTAGGGCGTAAGGCGCACTTCCAATCTGCAGGCGCCTATTATGCAGCTGGAGGGACATGAAGGAGAGATCTTCACCACAGAATTCCATCCCGAAGGCGAATTACTGCTCTCCTCCGGCTTTGATAGGCAGATTTGTGAGTGAAATAAAGAAAAGTGGTTAAAAGTTGATTAATGCGAATTATACATTTTCTTTAGATATCTGGCAAGTGTACGATGACTGCGAGAATGTTATGGCCATGTCTGGACACAGTGGCGCTGTAATGGAGGCTCATTTTACGCCCGATGGCTCTCACATCTTCACCTGCTCCACGGACAAAACCCTGGCCATTTGGGACATTGTCACCGGGCAGCGTCAGAGGCGTTTCAAGGGTCACAGTAACTTTGTGAACAGCGTGCAGGGCTCACGACGTGGCCAGCAGTTGCTTTGCTCGGGCAGCGATGATCGCACCATCAAGATTTGGGATGCCAGAAAGAAGCATGCAGCTCACACACTCGAATCACCCTACCAAGTGACATCTGTGTGCTTTGGCGATACCGGAGAGCAAGTCATAAGCGGTGGCATCGATAATGAAGTGAAATCTGGGACATACGAAAGCAGGCAGTGCTGCATCATCTCCGCGGACACTCGGACACCATTACCGGCATGTCACTATCACCCGAAGGTGATTTTGTTCTTACCAATGCCATGGACAATACGCTGCGAGTGTGGGATGTCCGACCGTATGCTCCGGGCGAAAGATGTGTGAAGGTCTTCCAAGGACATCAGCATAACTTTGAGAAGAATCTATTGCGTTGCGCTTGGTCGCCAGGCAGCGACAAGATATCCTCGGGCTCCGCTGACCGTCATGTCTACATTTGGGATGTGAATACAAGAGAATACTATACAAGCTGCCCGGTCACAATGGCAGCGTCAATGATGTGGACTTCAGTCCAAAGGAGCCGCTGATACTCTCCGGCTCTAGCGATAAGACCTTGTATCTGGGCGAGATTGATGACTGACGACCGGAAGATGAACCCGAAATGCGTGGTCTCTTGACACGCCTTTGGAGAACAAGAAGAGTTCGGTTTAAGGATTAATTATAACAATACAAAACTAAATAAACTATTTTAGCAATGAATCTTTGTTGCTAAATACCAAGTCTTGTTATTTTTAAGCCCTGTTTTTGCAAACTGGAACTAACTTGAGCTTGAGAACGTGGCAAACTTTTCCTATATTTTATTCTCCAGTTGATAACAAATTGCAATGACTATGACTCAGAGCGTGAAATAAATAATTAGAGCAATTAACACATCATTTTGAGAGGCGTTATTATCACAAATAAGTTTTATTTTGGATTTATCAATGAGTTCTTTTTTAAATAAGTTACAATTCGTTGCTGCTGCTGCCTGCGGTGGTGAATGATGATTTCTTTTATGTTTTATATCGTTTTCAAACGGGCAGCGCACTTCCCGAGGCCGAAACGCTCGTTTTGAAGAGCTGGCCAAAGAACTTGAGACCCGTTGCCCCGCCGGGCACCATGCCCAGGATCATAAAGAGTAGGGCTATTATCTGGGCCACCGCAAATAGGACCGTAAAGGCCGTGCTCTTGGCCACCAAGGCGCAGTACAGCGTCAAAAGCAAACAAAAGCTGTACGACAGCGAGGTCAATAGGCGCTGCTTGGAGAACATTTGCCGCAGAAAGGCGCCGAAGCCGGAGAGGAAACAGAAGCTTAGGATGAAGAACAGGCTGCCCAGGGTGTAGAGCAGGGCGAACTTTCTCGCTTTCAGGATCAAGACGGGAATGTATAATGTGGAAAGGGTCATGCACAGTCCGCCCATGCCCAGGCAGGCCACGAAACCCACGATTCTCTGCAGGCGGGACTGTAGTACGGGAAATTCTTCCATTATTATTTATCGATAGATTGCATATTTTGATATTTTACCAATTTGGGGCAACACGAGTCCTGGGTATCCTTTAGCCAGCTATTTTGAACCTCCGGCTCTGCACCTTTGGAGAAAAATCCCAGACTGGGCACCTTCAGCTGTGGCAGCTTGACATTGAAACTTTTCTTTTGGTCGCTCTGCAACAGCAGGTATTCGTCCAGGTCCGACTTTAGGCTACTCATCTTTTTACTGAGTATGCTTGTTTCATATAAGAGGAGTTAATGCAAATATTATTTATGATTTCGTGTCAGAACAAAACAAAACAACTGTGTTACCAGCCGGAAAAAGTGAAAATCACTAAAAATGCCCACACAAAGGAAAAGCATTCGCTTACCAATCTTTTACTCAACGAGTTGGCAGCAGCAACATGGTCAACATGTCGATGTTTAATTTTATACGGAACATCGATATAATGACGATGTATCGGCAAGGGTCCAAACACGGATTCAAAATTTTATGTTAACGCTCTGTCTGTAAAATCCACTGAACATTTTCTGTAAACGCTCTCAATCTATTTTGTTAATTACGATCACCCGACAGCCAAAGAGACATCCACTCTGTTAATTTACGCTTTTTCTGTCTGTTGATGAATCTTACATTGAAATTTTACCATAACTGTAAAAGTGTGAGATAGATTTTTAGCCGCGGAAGAATTCAGAGTGACCACAAAGAAATATAAAAAAATACCAAGAAAAAATATCTATATACTGACATTTTAATATATTTTCAACAACCTACAACGCCTCGACACACGACAGCACCCGAGAGAGAATTCTGTTAACTAACATCCATCCGACAGCTAACTAGAGAGAATTATGTTAATGAGAGTAGGTATGTTAATGTATTTAACGTTCTTCATGTAAAATGGTATGAAAAATGTTAAATAACAGCTTAGGGATTTAGAGTGGCCAAAAACCCGACAGCACCAGAGAGAGGATTCTGTTAATTTACATCCACCCGAGAGAGCAGAGAGAAGATATGTTAGAAATTGTACATTATACATGGGAATTCGACCCCAAAAGTGAGAATTGGACACCATGTATCTGTAAACGTGTAGAATCGCTATGTAGACGTGTAGATGTAAAATGTTAAATAACAGCACGTTCATTTCAAGCAACCCTGCTCGGAATTTTTTTTTTCAAAAAATTTCTCGACGAAAGCGGTTGTGCGGCCGCTCGCGACGGCAAAACAAAAAGCCAAACACAGAAAATAAATACAAACAAATACGATAATGGTTAAAATAAGTAATCCACAATATTAAGAAAGTTCTAGTGCTCTCAGAAGTGTAATGCAAGAAGCAAAATAAGTTATTGAAATAAGCAAAAAGTGGATGAAAAGAAACGGAAAACGGACGAACAAGTCGGTTGCGGAGCGGAAAAAAAACAGCAGTAACAACAACAAAAACGGCGGCGGGCGATTAAACAAAACGCCGCCAAAACACACACAGCGAAAGAAAGAAAAAAATTATTGTTATTATTATCTGTGAAAAAAAGAAGGCAAGTTCTCCCCTCTTTCTCTCTCTCCCTCGTTTCAATACCCCCCTGCGTCTGTGTGTGTGCGCCTATGTGCAGCGGCCTATCTGTGTGTGTGTGTGCGTGCGCGAGTTTGTTTGTGTGTGGAAATGCATTAATTACACCAACACCGAGGCAGATGCAGCAGCACCAGCAACAACAACAACAACAACAACAAAAGTTAATATAAAAATACACAAAAATCAAATACAATAAATAAGAATAAAAAAAAAGAAATGCAAATACAAACAAAAACACAAAAACAAAGGCAGCCAGCGAAATTGATGAAAAATTAATTTTTTTGTTGTTTCCAATTGATTTTTGTGATGCTTTTCCTGCCGAATGAAATTCGCTAAGGGATTAGGCAACCAAAAAATCACAACAACAACTACTACTAATAAATTTTACAATAATCGGTTTACTTTTTGGACTCGGGATCGGTTTTTAAATCGCTTTTTTCGAACCACAGAACTTTGAACGCGACGCGACGACTATTCTGGCTTAGTTTTTGAAAGGTTTTCGAATAAAGCAAGCCAGCGAAAATGCGAAACTTTCGAATACAGTCCAATACGGTTTTAAAATAAATAAAAGAAAGCCAGCAAAGAAAGGATCCGCAACGATCATCGGTCAGGGAAAGCCTCTTCATGGTGTAAGTATTAGTTTTATTACAATTTTAGAAGGAAATTCAAGAAAACAAGGGAAATTTCGAGAGGCAGGCTAGGAAACTATAAGAAAATCTGTTAGATATTTTTTCTGGAAAAAGAAAGCTGATCGGAAAAAAACATAATTCTAATTTGTTGTTTTATTTTTATTTATTTATTTTATTTTATTTATTACTTTTTTGTATATTCATTTATTTATATACAAATCACAATTTTCTACAATTCTTTAATAACGATTTTAAAGTGAAAAAACTATTTTATATATTTTAATTAGAGAAAATATCTCAAATATAATAATTAATAAATATGATTATAAAAAAAAGCTTTCAAATAAAAAGGTTAGAAAAACAGCGAAATTTCATTAAAAATACATTGCCTTAATAAGAAAGAAATCATTTATGAAGAAAGTCTATTGGAATACAAAATAATATACATACATATGAAAATTCTTAGAGAAAAATAATAAGAAAAAAGATTAAGAAATGTTTATAAAAATCAAAGCAATTTTGTAAAACTAAACCATAATTTCTTCTTTAATAACGTTCGTTTAATGTTAAATTTAATTTATTATGTATTACATTCATTAGGAAGTATATGTATATATTTTTATAAACAATATTTAGAAACTCAAGTATTTTTTTTATTAAAATATTTCAAGTTTCCTTCAAGATTTACTTTTATCTTAATTTTATTTTGTTTTTATTATATGTATATATTTGAATACAACATTTAAAAATTCAAGTATTCTCTTTTTCTTTTTAAAATATACCAAGTTTCCATTAAGATATATTTTTATATACGATATTGTTGTAAAAATACGAAATATCTACGCCGTATAGTAATGGTAATGGATCGATTATCTTTGGTTTTCCAGTTGGTCTTCCTCGAATTGCCACAATCTTAAACAGCAGTTTAGGCTTGTTATTTTACTAAATATATAGGAATTTGAATTCAGGGAAAGATCAGCACTATTATCAGTTCGGAGTAATTAGAAACGCAATAAAAAATAACACATGTATTTTCCACATTTTCATTGCAGCTCACAACGCAAATGGTAAGAAAGGAAAGCTGGTAAAAAATCAACTAAACACACACAAAAAAATATATATTATCAATTTATTAACCTATGGTAAACCATAAAAAATAATGATTAAACCAAAAAGTGTTTGAAAAAGTGTATAATATTTAAAAACAACAAAGAAATAATATGAAATAACCCAAAATGCCAATAATTTAACAACTAAAAAATTGTGGTAAAGAACAAAACAAGCTTTTAAATTTTTGAAAACCAAAGAAAATATTAAAATATTCAAAAACTAGTGTTGAAAAAAATTAGAAAGAAAATTAACTTAAACGGAACTAAAAACTATTTTAAAAATAAGGTTATAAAGAAGATTTCCTGGGATATAAATTCAAGTTAAAGTAAATATTATCAAATCTTTCCAAAATTCCATAATTTTGAAAATATAAATTCTAAATTCAATGGAAATTCAGACCAAAATATAGCTAAAAATTTCCTTTAAAATCGTGTAATTTTCAAGAAGAATTCTTCTGCTGAGAAGAATTCAACCATTTCTTATTCGTCTTCTGCTGGCGATCGACAGCAATTGGCAGTACTCTTGCAGTACAAAGAAAATGGCACAAAAAAAACTGTGAAGAAGAAGAAGCAAACCCAAAAGCAGTGACGCCGACCGAGGCAGCGACGCCTCTGCCAACAGCGGGCAGCAATTAACTCGAAAGCAAAGAATTTCATCAGAAATTCAAAGCACACACACGCACACATCCGTAGTCTGGTATACGAATACAACGAAACGGATGACGTGCAACGGGCTGAAAATAACGAACGACTGCGACGCCAACTGAGGCAGCGAAGAGAGAGAGACGTTGGAAATTTGTAGCGAAAAATCCAGGCTGACAGCTCCCCCAACGTACGAAAAAGTAACATGGCGACTATATATAAACCCTGAATATACATGGCTCCCGCTGTCCGCCTGTGTGTGTGTTTGAGCTCCACAAACTACAAAAACGAACAACGCAAAATAAACGGCAAGCAGAGCGAAAGAGAACGCGAACAAGTTGCTGTATGAGTTCGAACGGGACAACCTATAAGCGACGAAGAGTGGTGGAGAGAAATTGTCGTGTCGCTTTGAAAAATCGATTCAGCTGCTGCTGCTGGCGTGCGACTGAGACAGAGCGATGCAGTAAAATTGCTTATTTTTTTTCTTACTTAACCCGTTTGGTGTGCGTGCGCACATACTGTGTTGGTGTGTGTGCGTGTGTATGTTTTGGGGAGAGAGAAAAACTACAAAGTTGGCGCGGCATGTGGTGGCATCCATCCCATCCCCCCTCCCCTCTCTCGCTCTATCCTGCTAATGCGGTCGAGCGGGGCTGCTTCTTCTTGCTTCGCTTATGTATGTATTCGTGTTGGTGTGTGGTCACGTAGCTACAAAAACAAAAAAAAAACATACTAAATACATACGAAAACTGGTTTTCTTTTTTTCTTGCTGCTGCTGCTACTGCTGCTGGCAATATTCATGAATTCTAGTTAAAAACGCCTGACTTTAATGGGGTTTTTCGCCTCTAAATGGAAGAAAAATGAAAATTTAATGCCTTTTAGGGCTTTTTCTGATTATTTGTGATTCCTGATTTTCAAAATGGCAAACTCTGAGACAGAAAAACGCAAAGCACAAGTAGAAATTTCATTTGCAGCGCAAAATTGCAACAAATTATTGCTCAAAATTTAAACGGGCCGATGGAAATTGTGTCCCTCTCTTTTGTGTGTCTGTGTCTCTGTTTTATTTTCAAATTTTCAATTCCCAGCTTTTCAGCTATTCCCGTTTCTTTTTTGCTGCGAGCCCCACCAAGTTCTACAAAGCGACTGAAAGCAGCCCCAACAAAGCAGCTCTTCTGGCGCGAGCAGCGCCGCCGGCAGCGGGTGAAACTTTCGCGCGATCGGCTGGAGCCACAGGCACCGTGCGTTAGAGCAGTACCACCAGCCTAACACGGCACAGCACACAGAGAGAAAATGTATGGGTGATTTCCTGCTGCGCCCCAAAAAAAAAAAAAAATAGAAAATACGTAGGAGATTTAGAGACAGAGGGGCTACAAAACTACACACGATTTATGGAAGAACGTGCAACAACAAAGCCAAAGCTGCTGCTGCTGCTGCTAGCACCCCATACAAACTACATAACCATTTATAAATATACACACAGCCGCACAGTTGAGAGATACTCGTTTTCCATGTACCACCAGAGAGAGAAAAAAAGTACCAGCTATAAATTCTTTATGTACACTCTGTACATAGCACACACAAACACACACACACTCATACAACGCCCATGTCCCATGTATTTTGTGCGCTGAAGCAGCAACAACAGCCTGGCTATCTCGCTCTCACAACCACGTCAGACGGGCGGCAGTGCAAACGTCAATTATAAGCAAACACAGAGCGGGCAACGTTGCCGATTTTCATCTCAGGCGAACGGTAGAGCGAGCGGGATGGAGCTCGAGCTCAGCGCGGTTGCCGCTTTTCAGCTGTTTGCGAGTGTTTGTGTGTGTGTGTGTGTTGTTCTTGTAGTTTCCATGCTGCTTTAATGCATGGAATTTTAACATGCTGTACCTCCAGTCCAGTCCAGTCCCCTCGTTTTCCCCCCTACCCACTTCTTCCAGGGGGTGGAAAGGCAGCAGCGCTAGCAGCGAACAGCTAGCAGTGGGCAGTGGCAGTGGCAGCGGGCGAGCTGAGCGGGGGATTATAATAACGTGCTGTCGACGTCGCTGCTCGCATTTTCCACCTTCTCGCATTGTAGTTGTTGTTGCCGTTGGCAGCGGGGAGGAAATGGTCCCATACAAGATAAAGTATCTTTGTATCTGTATCTGCAGCTTAAATTGGCGAGCCTGAAGATAGATCTCTCAATAAATTTAAATTGAAAAAAATTAAATCTAGTTGAATTAAATGAGAAAACATATTTTTAGTTGCTAAATTAAGGCAAATTGGCATAAGTGACAAAAACAACAACAACAAAAAAAGCAAACTCAAATCCAGAGGAGAAATCAAGCGAAAAAGTGTAAATAAAAGTGTAAATTTACAAAAAGTATATAAAGTAAAGTTATCTTTCAATGGAAATTATTAAAAGAAAATCCCCTTATTCCAATAAAATAGTGTAAAATGTGCAAATGAGTGTTAAAGTGCTAGAAAAAGCTATCTATAATCTTGGCTTTAAATCGGAAATATCTAAAAAATTAAAAATCTAATTGAAATATAATTTTCCATTTTCTCCCCAAAAAATCTAGTGCAAAAAGTGAAGCAAATGAAGCAGAAAAAATCTGAAAAATATAGTTGAAAAAAAGAAGTATAAATATATATGCAAAAATATCTAAAACAAAGCCAACTATCCAAGAAATATATTTAATATATATATAAATATATATATATAATGTGCGTAATGTTCAATAAAAAGAAAAAGGGGGCCCCTCCCTCCTACTGGCGCTAAGTATAATAAATACGTGGCATTCGATCGCGATCGCGCAATGCTAATCCTAAATCGATGTGGATTCTGTGCTGTGAGTGTTCCGTTGTCGAAACATGGTACGCGACAGTAGCCGTAACATTTGTTTTGGAAAATTAGCCGAAACTACGACGACGACGCCGCCGCACCTTCAACAACATCTTCACCAACAGCAGCAACTACAACAACAACAACAGCAGTTCGTTGTGGATAGCAGCAGCAACATTATTAACAACAATAATAATAACAACATTAATAATAATAACAATAATCAGAAATTAAAAAGGTAAGATTCGACATGGATTTCTTTTTAAAGGTCTAAAAATCATATATATATTTTTACATAGATCTTGTATTTCCAATTGTATCTTTTAAGTATTTCAGATGTTTTCTGTTGTTCTATAAGAATCTATAATATTCTATATTCTCTTATATTCCTCATTCCAAACTGTGGTAAATTTCAAATCTATTTTAATTCGAGTTTTGAAAGGAATTTTGCACCTTTAGGTGTATTTATTAGAACTTTTTGAAAGCAAACTTTCATATTTTCTTTAGGATAATATTTTTGTAAAGCTAAAAGAATATTGTTAATAATAAATAATATTCAAAAACATAATTTTCTTGCACATATAATAGAACCTCATTCCTATAACGAAGCTAATTAAATGTAGTTAATTTACTACTATTATTTCGAGACAAAAGATAGTTTTTGCCTCTAAAAAGTAACTTCCAGCAAAGTCAATCTTATAGATGCGTGTGTGGGTGCCTGTCTAAATGCTTTGGTCATCACCATTGCTCATTTTAGAGTTTTAGTTTTGGAGCTACAACAAGAAGAACCTCGAAGATGCGACAAGCTAGAGATATTTCGTATGTAAATGGTGCTAGGTATCTCATAGATGCCAGCGTAGGCTACTTGTATCTGCTGCTACTGCTGCCCACACGAGGCCGTTCTTATCATCAAGTGTGTGCGGTATACGAAGCGTGCTTTTCCAGGCTGACTGCCAGCCTGTCAGAGCAGCGACAATCCCTGAGATACAAAGCCTAATAGCTGCCCAAAAGAAAACACAACAAAAAATAAATAAAAAAGAGAATGCGTAACTCTTTTACCTTGACTTGTCGTCGTGTCTTGGCTTTTCTACTCGCAACCCCAAGTATCTTTTACCTGAGTGGATCCCACCTTTCTGCTTTTTTTTTTGCCTTTTGCTACGTGTACAAAACAGCAGAGAACGAATAGAATCTAAGAGCCGAGAATAGAGAATAGAGAATGAAGAATCAAGGGAAAGAGGCAACGGGAGATAGTCGGACATGTGGCAATGGCTGCTGTATCTAAAAGATACTCTCTTCTACCTCAACTACCTCTTTCTACCATCTCTCCCTATTTATTACGTAATATTTTTTCTTATAAACGAACCTATCTGAGCAATTTGTTTTGTTCTTATGCCTGTTTCTCTGTGTGTATATTAACATATATATATTTTTTCGGTTTTGTGAGTCAAACAAGTTTTTGTGGGTCCCCTTCCTTCCTTTCTCTATTTCTTTTTTGTCATTGTTTATTTTCTGTTGTTGTTGTAGTGCAAAAGTCAAATGTTTTAATTGCTTCATTAGGCACACAGTCACCGCTGAAATGCTTTTTCCAGAGCCGAGACTAGACCAACACACATGTTGTACTCACTGCTGTTGCTGTTGCTGCTGCTTCTGGTGCATTAAACCCGCATCAATGTCAGACAACATAGCATTTTTAATAGTTTTTTGCGGTAATTACCAACACAAATTGTCGAATCGACGCGGTTCCAAAAACCAGACGCGTTGTTTTGTGTTTTGCCTCTGACATTGACAATGAACCGAAAAGCCAAGAAGTGAGCCAGCACCAAACACACTAACCAGTATCAGTACGCCAAAAACATAAAAGAAAAAAAAAAACAGGCAAACGGCCCGAAATAAATTATAGCTTTTCAGCTGCAAGAGCTTGAATTACGCACTTTTTCTTCTGTTGGGTTATTTTTTATTAACTCTTTTTATTTGTTGAGTACTTTGCACTCTGGCAGACCCCAACGTTAGCTCACAAATTCGTTTTGTTTATTTCTAGCTGAGTAATCTCGTAACATTCGCATCCAATATATATATATACACATATATATATATATAGAGAGAGAGGCAGCATTGTTATTTGAACTTTTTCTAGGGCGTAGTTTTTGATTTTTTCTATTTGTTTTTCTATGGTCTCTCACCTTGAGGTGCGTTTTACATGTTCAGGTGCAAATCTTTCAAGATCTCTCAGTGAATACATTTGTGAATGATGAGTTTTTAGAGGGGGGTCTTTTTGTTGATTTTTAAATTTAAATTTATGCTAGGTGAAATAAAAAATAAAGGAATGTCTTTAATAACAACTTTATTATATTTAATAAAAATATATGGCATTATATGTGATTTTTAATTGATTGAAGAGACTTTACACTTAGTTCTTTATTAATTAAAGACTTTATTTAGAAAGGAATACCAAAATTGTATTTCAAAGAGAAATACTTACCAATCAGTTCCAAAAATGAATACCGGAAATGAATAACAAAAATAAATATCTATTTAAAATGAATCTTATTAAAAAGTATAAATGAAATTCTAATAATGCAACCAAGAATAAATCCTTTTTTTTATTGAGGTTTCTTATTATTTTTAAAATTTGGCTTCAATTCTTAGTATTCATTTTCGGAATTCATTTCAGGAATTATAAATGCCTCAAATATAATTTTCCCAATAATTTTTAGAATTTATTTGTTGGATTTACCTAAGGTATATATATTCATTTGTCAAATGAATTTCATTAATTCAATTTTTATGTTACTTTCCTTATTCATTTACCGGATTTATTTTAAGGATTCATTTTTGGATCCATTATTGGTGTTCATTTTATGGATTCATTTTCAATTAATTTATTTACGCAGCTCTCTTCCATTTTTGGAAAATCCTTGATCCATCGATTAGCATTTGGAAATGATTTTAGTTTTAATAATGGCCCACATCTGGGCTCTCGTCCGAATGAATCCCCCTGACCCATGGAACACCCCGTCATCAACTTGGATCACTTTATTAAATTGAATTTCGTGTTTCGCTTTTTAACACGAGATGGCTAGCAAGGCAGCGAGAAACAACAACGGCAAAAATAATAATAATAATAATGATCTATATCACATTTTATACACACAGCCAACAAGGTGTGAGTGTTTGTGTATTGTCTGTGTAGACAATTTGTTTTTGTTGTGCTGTAGTGCTTTTGACTCGTTTCAATGTCATGTTACATTTATATATTTGTTGCTCTTGTTAATGCTGTTTTATTATTATTGTTTTTTTGTTGAACGAGAACACGAGAATTCTGCTCTCGATTTTCATAGTTTTTTGTGTTTTGTTTTTTTCTGTTTGTGCTATTTGTTCTTTTTGGCATTGAAGGCTCTCTTTATTTTTCAGAGAGGGGACGCAAAAGCCAAAAAAGTAGATTAGATAGAGGCGTCCTACGAAACCTGTAATTGCCACAGATACATTTTACTTTATTTTTTCATTTTTCGTCTGTGTGTCTAGTCTATTTTTGTAAATCTTGTTAACAAACTTTGAAGCACAAATAAAGTACTGATAAACTTAACAGAAGCAATGTGGAAATGTTTATTTAGAGTTATCTAACAATTGTAACATTTTTAAGTGTGTTTTTTTTTGTAAGGTTTCTCAAGGGAAATCCCTTCAATATCTAAAATCTATATACACGTGGCTTTATAGACGAATATAGAATGCATTATCATTTATTTTCTATTCCCAATAATTACCATACCATTGTACTTTCGTACTTGATAATTATTCAAATGTTTAGTCATTGCTTGTGGCGTGTTTTTATTTTTTTTTTGTTAGTTTTACGCTCTATCACCGGTGTGGGGGGTCTGGTGGCAAAGGACGGGTGTTACTCGGGTTACTCATCCATCCATCCACAAGTATATATACAATATGTACATAAATCCCAGGAACAGAACCCGATCCAGAAACAGAAACAGAACTCTATAACCATAACCATTTCCCTCTCACACACAGTTGTTGTTTCTTATTATTGTTATTATTCTTAGTATATATATTTACTTGTTGTTCTTTTATTTTGTTTTTGTTTGCGATAAGGTCCGGTTGGCGTGTACAATTTATTTTACTGACTTTGAATTTTATCTGAAAATTGATTATTATATTTTTAATGAAGCACATGGGTAGCCATATTTTCATGTGAATCATTTGAGAAATTTCTCCAGATTTCTTTCTAAAAAAGTAATAGAACTTGCTTGAGAAAATTTAAAAATAATAAGAAAATAAATTAAAGGAAAGTAATAAATAATAAATACAAGAAAAGGAAATTCATAACTGATAAACTAAAAGGTTTTTCAAATTATGATTTTTTATTATACCATAAAAAGGTATATATATTTTTCAGGAATTATTTTTTCAGAGAATTGTTTTCAATTAAGTTCCTTATCTTTAAATAATTCCTGTATATATATATTTTCTTAACTATGTTATTTCCTAGGAAACTGAATGCCAAAATTCTTTTAGTAAAAAAATCTTTGAAAAAGAAGCTTTAAAAGGTTCTACATTTTTCAAACTCTTTTCAAAACCAGTTTTCAAAAACCCTTTGTTACTCAATACTGTTTTTAAGTATTAGTTTTATTAATTTTTTTTGTATTAAAAAATATTTTCTTGGAATGCCTAAACAGCGTTTTCTAGCGCCTTTTTTCATATCGCATATCGCCTAGGTTTTTTTTTATATACGAATATATATATGTATATATTTTTTCAGTACGTTCAGGAAC